TTCTTGAGAGTCCCTTGGACTGCAAGATCAAATCAGTCAGTCCTAAAGGAAATCAATCCTGAATATCTATTGGAAGGACTCATGAAGCTCCAATACTTTGGCCACCTGATGTGAAGAACTGACTCATTGGAAAAGACCCTCATGCTGGAAAAGATTGAAGGCAGGAAGAGAAGGGGATGACAGAGAATGAGTTGGTTGGATGGCATTACTGACTCAGTGGACATTAGTTTGAGCAAGCTCTGGGAGATGGTGAAGGACAGGGAAACCTGGCGTGTTGCAGTCCATGGGGTTTTGCAAAGAGTCGGACATGACTGAGAGACTGAACAACAATACCTAGGAAAATCTGATTCTCCACAGTAATATTTCTGTTGGCTAGTGTGGCGTTTTAGTGGTTTTGAGGGGTGGGAAGGAAACTTGGCTTAATTAAACTAGTGTTGTTTCTCTTACAATGGTATCAGGCTGAAGTGAGAATAGGGAACTGGGTAGTCAGAGAACATGACTGTTATTTTCACGATTTAGAGATGGACCCAGTAGATGGGATTGGGTCATTTGTTGGATTTAGTCATATAAGATATATTTATTGAGCACCTACTATGTACTGCTGGTGGCCATTTAAGAACGAGGCTGTGCAATGCAAGAGAGCCTTCTGTGAGCCCAGAGTTTCAGTGAGAAGCAGCCTGAAGCAATCTAGGTTGATAGGCATATTTGGAAGTTCCATGTGATTATTTTTCAGTTTTCTTTTGAAAAGAAACACAGTACTTATCCTGTTGCAGTTGCTATGGCAACTACACTATAGCCTGGGAGAATTTTTACCCCCACTTCATGGTTAGAAAGTTAAATTATTAAAATCTTTTAAATCACATGCTAAAATGAGAAGGTATGTACTGATTGGTGAGATGGTCCTAAAATTGTCTCTGTTACTCTTCTTCTTTTTCACCACTTGTGATTTTCTTAGGTCACTGGACCTATTTGGGCTGGGGAGACCAACAGAGTACGTAAGAATTTGAATACCTTATAATTTTCTTAATTTTACCCTTTAACATATTCCCTCTGACTGGGGCTGGATATTCATGCATATAAGCATATATAATGCCATTCCCTCCTCTTCCCTTTCTTGAAGCTTAGGAGAGAATTTGCTGCATTGGAAACTTATATCCTTTCAGGCTGATTTCCTGAAGACTTTGTGTCTGTGCATGTGCATGCATGTGTGCGTATGTGTGTGTGTGAATGTGAGAGACAGAGAGAGAGATGGAGAAATTTCAAAATTTCAGTTATAATCCTGACAGGATCTCCTGATTTGTCTTCCCCAGAGACAAGTGTCCTCAGCCCCTCCTTTGGCCTTTTAGCTAAGGGGCACGGTGACTGGCAGGAGAAATTTCGTTCTAGGAGAGGTCATTGGTTTTGTGATGTGAACAAGAGGCTGGGGACGTGGTTTGACTTTCCTTGAAGCAGTCTAGCTAGGCTAGAGGCCACCTTTGTTCTTGAGCTTAGAGAGTGAGCTCTCTCTTAGACAGTTCTTTCTAGTGAGAGTCACAGCCTTAGACTGGCATTACTGGCTGTGTTACCTGGGCTGACAGAAGGTGGTTGGGTTGGTTGAGTTTCAATGATGAGGTATCCAGTAGTTGCTAAGAGGGGCCAAATTTTGTTCTGTCACTATAATTTCTCATGGAGTATGTACTATCTATGATTTGAATCCTGAGTATTTGCACCAAGAAACTATGCAAACACAGCCTAAGAGAGCTTGGATAATTAAGGTTTTCGAGTAGAAAGAAGTAAGTCATGAAAAAAAAGAAGTTTGAATTTTCATTCCTTCTCTGATAAAGTTTTGCCTGTATTCTGGATCTAAAGATGGGGACTCAATCCAGGAGCACCACATACTAGAGAACCTCACTGTTGAATACATCATTCAGTTTTGTTTGAGTGCCTGCTGTCTGCCTGAGGCTCATCCCTGTCCCAGCCTGCCCTTCCAGGTTTATTTTTGTCATTTCCCTTTCATGTCCTTTTATGTACTTGCTAAATGAGCTATAAAATGTTTCATAAAAATATATACATAGCCTTTCAAAATATATATGACCTTTTACGTATATATATATATATATACACATATATACACATATATATGTGTGTGTGTATATATATATATCCTTTCCCATCATTGGACCTTTACTCATGCCATTTCTTTTCTCCAGATTCTAAAAGGCATTTCCCATCACCCAGATCTTCACCTATTAAAAATCATCCAGTCTTTCAGAGTCATAACTTCCTTAATTATTTCCCTGTTCATTTTAATAGGAAGTGATCCAACCTTCAACTCATATAGCATTTGGTTTATACTGTTCTCATGATAGATACTTCCTTGTATCTGTATCCATATTTTCTCTCTCCTATTAGACTGACTCTATACTCCAAGTCTTCTGTGTTGTTTAGCCTTGCAGCTGGTGGACACTCAATAAATATTTGAATGAGTAAAATTTCCCAGCCTTTTAATTTCAAAGGGCTTTTCAACTTTTGCCCTCAGACTAGCTCACAAGTCCTCCGTAAGCTGAATAAGCAAACCTGTTCTCAGTGTCTCTTTCTCAGGGAAACCAGAAGTTTTCTGTTCTAGGTGAAATGGTTCTGTGCAGGAGCAGGTAGAGCCAGTAAGATATCATTGCTGGGACACTGAAAGCACGATGCTTTCACCCAAGCCTTTTCCGTCATTTCCCTTTTCAGTTTCTAGTCAGCTTTGGTGGTGCCAGGATGTTTCGTTTCTAAGGAACCTGGGGATGGTGTAGGGGGAGAAAAGCTGGCTTTTGCCCTTGACCAACCTTTTTTCTGCTCCAATCCTTTGTCTCACCTCACTTCCTTGTATTTCCTTTCTCCACTCTCCTCCTATTTTTCATACCCTCTTTTCTTCTGCTCCCGGCTTCTTCTTTATTTGCCCTTTATTCCTTCAGCACAGAAATGTGTCAACCTTTAGGACTGTTTTGGAATACCCCTCCCCTTAGCTTAGCAAAATAAAGCCGATCATTATTAAGGAGTCATAGGTCAGATGCAGCGAGAAGGGTCTCTCCACGCAGTTTCTGGCTCGGGATACTGGGCTCCTAACTCTGGCTGAGCTGCCCTTTCCTGGCCTCATAGTCAACAAGATTGTCTGTCACTGCTGCTGCTTTGGAGACTCCCGTCTTGAGTCTCTGGATGATATACTAACAGCACAATCTCCTCCCAGAGTTTAAGTAGACTTTTGGCTTTGTCTCCTTGGTTGGCTCTGCCCCGTCATCTGTATGCATGAATAATCCAGCACTGACTTCTTCACACTTCCTCCTTCTGTGAGTTCAGAAAGAATGTCTGAATGGCATACTGGTTTTTGTCCCTTGATCCTTTCTAGTCATCAGCACAACGGATGCATCAAGGTCTAAAACCAGTACCTCCAAAGTCTCTTTTCCCTAACGTGTAATCAGAGTGCTTTGTAAACAGAGTGTTTTGTCTCCCCATGTTTGACTGGTATTGTTCCTGACCGTTTGAAGATTAGCCTTTCTCATACTGATTTTTTTCCCCCTGAAGTTCTGATCATTTCCCCGTTCCTTTCTTTTGTTCACGTGTTACCTTAAACTTAAGTGGGCAAAGCTCGTAAGATCTTCTTACCCCTACTCCCAGCTGTAACCCCAAGCGGTGTCTGCAACCCACATGTTCATGTTCCCTGTCTTTTAGTGGGCTTATCTACCAAGTTGTCTGATGTAGAAGCCAAGGGGCCATTTCCCTGCTACCTTCCATTTGTCCCCAACTTTTATCAGTTCTGTTTTTTCTTCCTCTAATTCATTAACTCTCTTCTGTTTTCATTGGTGGATATATGTTCTCATCTCCTCCATGAGCTATTGTAAAAGCCTCATTTTATGGTCATTAGGAGGCTTCCACTGCCCACATTGCTACCAAGATTTTTTAAAATTACTAAGATGAGTCTATCATCTGCTTAAAGTATCTACATTTTAGGATGGTGAAGGTTCCTTTTCCTTATTGTGAGCCAAATAGAAACTTGGCAAGAAAGAACATATGGGACCTTATTAATTATACACATATGGGTATCATGTCAGAAATGGCTTCTGTGGAAAATAAACCACAAAACACTGTTAGGTTGAACTCCTTTTCCAAGCACAGTGTTGCATATTTTTATTTTTGCTTGGAGCAAGATTTGTAACTCTGACCATTTTAGCTAAAACCAAGAAAAAAATGGCAGCCGGTCAGGTGCTAACTGGAAAAGCAGAAATAAATCTATGAAATTGTGGTCGCTGCTGTTAGATAATTGGCTGCTTTGTCAGTAAGACCCCATTGGTGGTGGATGTGTCTTCCTCTTCTTCTGAGGAAGTGGGATGAAGGCTTGGGATGGGAATTCTGAGCCCAGGGTATGGGTGCTCAATAGAACTTATTAGAAAAACCCAGTGTTGCAGCAAGACAGTAAGACTGCTGCTGTTCTCCGCTGCATACAGAACTTGATTTCTAAGTCTTGACTTTGACCTTGTTTCCTATACCAGTTTCCAATGGTGGACCTATTTATTTGACTCAGCAATGTATTTTTAAAGTCTGAAAACATCATGCAAACTTTAAACAAAAATTTTGCTTTCCTAAGAGATGAAAAGCCTGTTTCTTCCCCTTTTGCCCCATTTTGATAATAGTGGAGCACCAGAATCTATTTAAGACATTTAAAAGCAGTTTTTCATTAGGGTTACAATAGCTTAGAGAAACAGAATTCCAGAAAATTCTGCATTGGGAAAATGCCACTTGGAACTCCTCTGAGAATCAGCACTAAAATTAAACCAACTGTCTTATCTTGTTAGAGAAGGAGAGAGACTTGTGGGTATTGAGACAGTTTTTTGCATGACTTTAAGGTCACTACACTCATGGGCAGCTCAGCTTGCGCTTGTTCTCAAGGCTTGGGCTTTTGGCTCCCTATGTTGGAAGCAGAAAAGAATTCTAGAGAGCTGAATAAAGCTGGGGTACTTTGATGGACTGTGCTTATTCCACAGCCTTCGAAGATCCTGACAGTGCGGTGGATGACCGAGATAGTGACTACCGCAGTGAGACCAGCAACAGCATCCCGCCTCCTTACCATACAACCGCCCAGCCCAACGCTTCTCTGCACCAGTTCCCAGTGCCCGTGCGGCTGCCGCAGCAGCTGCTGCTGCAGGGCAGCTCCCGGGACTCCTGCAGTGACTCTGCGCAAAGTTACGACCTCGATTATCCAGAGCGGCGGGCCCTCAGGTAGGTGTTGGGAACAAAACACTTTCTCCTCCTAGTATGCAGGTCCCAGGGTGCAACTGACATCAAGGATTTGGGTACCTGAGGTGATAGAGGAAATATAGCAGTATGGTGGACCAACCTACAGCCATTTTATGTGGAGTGTCAGTCTTTTTTTTCCCTCTTCTTTATAAAGTTCACGTTTATGCATGGGATGGTGGCTTAGTCATTAAGTTGTGTCCAATTCTTGTGACCCCATGGATTGTAGCCCACCAGGCTCCTCTGTCCATGGGATTTCCCAGGCAAGAATACTGGAGTGGGTTGCTGTTTCCTTCTGTAGGGGATCTTCTGGACCCAGGGACTGAACCCAGGTCTCCCACATTGCAGGCAGGTTCTTTACCGATTGAGACGCCAGGGAAGCCCACAATTATGCATATCCATCAATAAGAGTTTTTCTTTATTATCAGCAGGTGAGGGCAGGCGCACTTGGGGTATATGGCTGAAAAAAACCTGCTCACCTCTCTGCCCAGACCAGTGACTTTGATATACCTTTCATTGAGATTAAAAAAAAAAATCACAGATGTTAAATGCTTGGGTAATTCATCCTACCTAAATATTTCCCTGGGAATGTCAGAAGAAAACCAATATAATCTCACTATAGCAGATTCAGTACTTTTGCTGGAACTTAGGAAAAAAGCTTTTTATTAATTTCTTAAATACATAAAACATTTAATGTAAAAGTATGTTAAGGTACAATATAATACACAGCAAAGAATTACCCACCCACACCTGTCTGTCTTCTTCTGTTGCCTGCTCTTCTGCCTCCTAGTTCTCTACCACCTTTGTTTCTTTCTTTCTTTTTTTTTTACCACCCTTGTTTCTTACGCACACTTCCACAGGCCATTGTCATATACTTAAAAGCATAAAAACAAATACATACGTATATGCTCCCTACTCTTGCCCAAACTTAAAAAAAAGTCATACTTCAAATTTAGAGAAATAATGTATACTTCTCATATATTCACATAGCCTAGATTCATTCGTTGTATTAACATTCTGTCATGTTTACTTTGTCTCATTCTCTCTAATATATATTCATATACACATACATTTTTTTGTTTTCTGGCCATGCCTTACAACTTGTGGGATCTTAGCTCCCCAACCAGGGATTGAACCCATGTGCTTGGTAGTGAAAGCATGGAGTCCTAACCACTCGACTGCCAGGGAAGTACCACACATACGTTTTCTTTTTTTCCTGAACCATTTGAAAGTAATTTGCAGATACCAAGTTACTTTACCAGGAGGTACTTCAGTGTATAACTCCCAAGAAAAAGGACTTTCTTTTACATAACCATAATATTATGATCACACTCAAAGAAATTTAAAGATACAATATTATTTAACATCTAGACCATATTTAAATTTTTTCAGTTGTCCCAATAATGTTCATATATATATATATGCTAAGTAGCTTCAGTCGTGTCCGATTCTGTGCGATCCTGTAGATGGCAGCCCACCAGGCTCCTCTGTCCCTGGTATTCTCCAGGCAAGAATGCTGGAGTGGGTTGCCATTTCCTAATGGCATAAAAGTGAAAGTGAAGTCTCTCAGTCATGTCCGACTCTTCGAAACCCTATAGACTGTAGCCTACCAGGCTCCTCTGTCCGTGGGATTTCCCAGGCAAGAGTATTGGAATGGGTTGCCATTTCCTTCTCCTATATATATATATATTTTTTTTTTTTTTTGATGCAGGATCCAATTAAAGAGTATGGTGCCTTACATGTGATTTTCCTGTTTCTGTAGTCTCTTATAATCTCACAAAATTCCCTTTTATTTTTAATCTTTTGAGACACTAATATTTTTTGAAGAGTCTAAACCAGTTTTGAGAATGCCTCTTAATTTAGTTTGGTCTGATTGTTTTTTCAAGTTTATAATCAGGTTAAGTATGTTTCACAAAAACATTACATAGCTGTTTCCTTCACAGTGCATCAGCAGTCACATTTTACTTTGTCTCATTATAGTGGACGTTTAATTTGATCTCTGGGTTAATCTAGTATATATACCATATTTCTCTAATGTAAAGTTACCTTTCTTCTTTGTAATTTCGGATCTCTGGGATGATACCTGAGATTGTGAATATATTCTGTTTCTTCAACAACCATTTATCTATTGATTTTAGCATCCATTGATAATTGTTTCCTGAATCAATATTTCACTGGCTGAAGGTTAGTTTTTTGAAAAACAACTCCAATTTAGCTCATACTTTGGGTGGCTAAAATTGACTATATTATAGGATGATCTGAGAGTTTTCCCCACCATATCAAACTGGTGAGTAAATATTCTGAACCTCAGATGGTCATATACCTGCTAGACAACATCCTAACTCTGTTTACTGTCATCTCTGAGAGTATTTTCAGTAAAATTTTATCATGTAGAATTCTTACTGTTCACAATTTAATTCTAAACAGAAGTGTGGCAGGAATCCTACTGAAGTTGGTCCCTACTTCTTGCTGGTTTATTAATTGCTTATTTTATTCATTTGGTTTTAGTTATTTATATTTTCTTTAAGAAAAAAACATAATGGCAAAAAAAAAATTGTTTTGGCTCTTTCCCCTATGTATTTACAAGTGTTGAGTGTGCAGGCCAGCAATCATAATGGCACATCAGCTTGAATTATGACTGCAGTTATCCAGAAGAATATGTAGTTTGCCTGATCATCACCCTGTTATCACTGCTGTAGTAACACTTGGAAGAGCATTAGTGCAGTACTTTTAGTTATAAATTTTTTTCCTAAAATTTTTCTTTAATTGATCACATATAAATTTGATTAGTTTTCTATATCAGTATATGAAATGAGGTTAAAGAGTAAATATCTTAGCATCTCCAGCAGAGGAGACATTAACATTATTTTTAAGTAAACTTGTATTACAGACATTTTTAACTTAAATTTTTGACTTGATTTTTCTTTAAAAAATTTTTGAAGAAATTGTGTCACTAGTTTGGTTTTTAAACTTCTATTACTGTAAATACTAAGTTCTTGGAAAAAGTCTAAAGACCTTAAGTTAGAGCTTTTAAGGAAAAATTTTAAATCCTTGATTGAACCAACAGTTTGCAGTACCTTCCAGTAAACTAGAAATGTAAAAATAAATAGTTTCTATTACCACAGCCATGGCTATTGACTGATTTATGTTGGAATGATAAAGGCTTCTTCTAGGATGGAGTTAATTAGTTTGACTTTTTGAGAATATCTGAGAGCAATGAAACTGCATATTTTATGTATATATATATATATATATGTGTGTGTGTATATATGTATGTATAAATTGGTTTCCCTCACTCAACCAAATAATGGGAATAACTAGAATAATGGGAAATGTATGTATATTGTATAAAAATGCATAATTGGAAGTTTGACAATGGTGTTGGACTTTGTGAGCTATTATAGAGCCAGCATATCTCTATTGTTGAGGGGTGTCAAAAGAATATCTGTCTCACTCTTGATGGCTCTTTAGTGGCTAAGTGACACTTTGATGTTGTTTCTGTTTCCTAAATAAATGCTATCAGATGTTAGATCTATAAAAGAACACATTGAGCTGACAAACTCCTAGTCTGCAGGCCTTCTCTACACCCCCACCTTAGGTACACAGGAAATAGACAGTCTTTAACTTAAGCGAAAGAAAGGTCAGCAGTCTTCTGTAGTGACTGACTGAAGTTGACTGTGTAGCTTCTGATTCTGTATTCAGTATAGCGAAATATGTTCCTTTCACTGTGATCCTCAATGCATATAGTCTTTAGGTTTCACAAATGACAAATTATGATACTTTAAATAATTTTCTCTTTTTGGTACTGTAACAAGGTTTGACTTATGATAGTCAAAAGATTTTCATTATATTTTCTGCATATTTTTCTTTTTAAAAGTAGTATGTTTGACCATATTCTTGGCTATACTGCCTAAAATACAACCTTCAGCAAATTAACAGCTTGGTGGCTTCTCAGACCCAAATTCATCAGCAAATTTAGATTTCTTCTTCTTTTTTTTTTTTTTTTCAGTTTTATTTATTTATTTTCTTTGCAATATTGTATTGGTTTTGCCATACATTGACATGAATCTGCCATGGATGTACATGTGTTCCCTATCCTGAACCCCCCTCCCACCTCCCTCAACAACTTAGATTTCTTGATGTCCCTTGATCTATGTTCATGGGATATGTAATAGTTCTAAACTATGGCATTGTAAATACATTCTAAATATTGATGGAACATATTATTTGCTTCTTTCTTAGAAAACAGTAGGATCCTAAGTAGTTAATGGTAGCAAGTGAAGTATTTCAAAGTTGTGATAGGTAGTCTTTCTCTGATGTGGAAAAAACTTTTTGACTATGTTGTTATAATGCTGAATTAAGAGCGTGTGGATTTCCTTATATCTTTTCAGTCTGAATGGTTTTTATCAGATAGATAATTTTACTAATTTTAGTTTTTTCATTCAATATGCACTAAATCTTACAATTTTTTTTTCTTTTCCCTGTTTCTCCTTTTTTTTTCTTGCCTTACTATTCCTCCGTTTTTCTCTTTACATCAGACAAGGCTTTCAGGCTCAAAATGACAAAATTAGAATTATTTCATCTTTCTCTGATGTTGACTGTGAAGAGCAAGAATGTATATATGAGGAGGTAGAGGGGGAGATGTCTCAAGAGTTTCTACAAGACAGTAACATAAACTTAAAGGAAGCAGAGGTAAAAGAAGTAAGAACTCTTTTGAAAACTGATAAATATTACAACCAACAAATACAACCAAAGTACAAGAATTCAAAAAAGGCACCATCTCAAAGCCAAGAGACAGAATTCTCTGCTGCCTTTAATTATGACCTTAAGTTTGAAACACCTGCTTTCTCCAGATATCCTCAGAAATATGATACAATAGATAGGAGAAGGAAAAAGACACCCTTGTATAGTCATTTTGAAGACAGTGAAAGAAGACAGTATGATGATAAATCAGGAACTAAGACTAACTTCAAAAGTACATATCA